CTACCTCCTTTTCTCACCTGCTGCGCCAGTGATTTGTAATTAGAAAGCCAAAGGGCTAAGGATGTAGCTCAGTGGTAGAGTACTTGCCAAGGTATGCATGAGGCCTTTGCTTTATTGCCAGCACACACACACAGAGGACAATTACAGTTGCTGTTTAAGGTCATCTAGACCACTGTTGCCATATACTTTACCATAGGTGTGTGTGTGTGTTCAGATTTTCATGTTTAATGTTTCAGACTAAACAGACTGTGTAGACAGGCCCAGTGGCACACATCTAGTAATCCCAATGACTTGGGAAGCTGAGGAAGGAGGATATCTCTCTCTCTCTCTCTCTCTTTCTCTCTCTCTCTCTCTCTCTCTCTCTCAATTTTACTTGTCCTTGGGCTGGGAATGTGGCTCAAGTGGTAGCGTGCTCGCCTGGCATGCGTGCGGCCTGGGTTCAATCCTCAGCACCATGTACAAACAAAAAAAAATTTTTATTTGTTCTTATAATATACACATGACAGTAGAGTATATTTTGACATGGAGTATTTTTTATTCTAATGAGGATGAGGCAGGAGGATCTCAAGTTTGAGGCCAGCTTCTCAGCATCTTAACTAGACCCCTGCCTCCAAATAAATGAAAAGGGCAGGGGTTGTAGCTCAGTGGTGAAGCACGCTGGGTTCAATCCCCAATAGCTATCAATCAACCAACTAGCAAAACTAAAACAGGCTGTGTGGCTGATCCAGGGGACCAATAAAGTGAACATGAAAACACTAGGGAAAATGGGACCAGGAGTGACAGTTAGAAACTTATTGAATGCAAAAAAAGAAAAAAAAAGAACAAGAAAAAAACTGAAGGAGGACTTAATCACTATGAAGAGCAAATGGGTGCTGACTAAACCCTTCTAGGTGACTTCAGTCTCATAGGTCCTGTTCTTACTCTTTGCAGCCCTTTAAGCTATTCCACCGTGCATTTTCATGGTTTGAAGTCCTGTTACCAACACAGATCTCAAACACTGGTAACTCTCAAATCTCTAGTTTAACTTCTCTCCTGATCTCTAAGAGTCCTCACTCCAATTCCCTTCAGTTTCTCTCTCCCAGAAGCTCCACAGCTCACTTGTGTTTCCTATTTCAATTGATAGTACTCTCATCCACCCATGCATACATGGGAAGGGGCCATCATCCACCTTCTATTTCCTTTCCTTTTTCAGATTCTTTATAGTCCTTGAGGGCCTCCTCTTGACTCTAAGCCCCCTCCTCCCTCTACTTAAAGGGTCAGCATTACTCACTGACTTGAAGCCTAGGCTCCTTTTTTTTTTTTTTTTTGATACAGAGGTTTGAACCCAGGGGTGCTTAACCACTGTGCCATATTCCCAACGCTTTTTGTATTTTATTTAGGGACAGCGTCTCACTGAGTTGCTTAGGGCCTTGCTGTTGCTGAGGCTGGGTTTGAACTCATGACCCTCCTGCCTCAGCCTCCTGAGCGCTGGGATTATAGGCATGCACCACTGAGCCTTACTCCTTATGTTTTCAATCATGACTTAAGGATTTTTGTATCTTCAGCACCTATATCCATGCCTGGCATTTTATAGAAGTTCAAAAATATTTCCTGAAATGCAAAATCCACCTTTCTGCTAAAAAACAGAATGTCGTAATTACCCTATGTAACATCATTGCTCCACCTTCACTCTGTTCAAATATCTAGCTGCCCTGGGTTTGCTCCAGATGTGTGAACTCACACTTAAAGAAGGCCTCTTCTCTGGTCTAGCTCTACCCTCTCAAGGATTTCCTGACTTGGATCTACAAGATAGAGTAGTAAAGATAGGAATCATTTTGGTTCTCTTCCTTCCCATTGATATTTATCCTCCTTTGCCTTACCCCTGGCAGGGCCTGATTTGCCTTCTATATTCATATTTATGGAAAACTTGAATGACTGAAGAATTCCTTGAAATTCATTGGACAGAGAAGGAAGGAAGATGGGCAGGCAGGGAGGGAGGGAAAGAGGAAAAGGGAAGGGAAAAGAAGCAAAAGGAAGGAGAGGGAAAGAAAAGGAAGGAGAAGGAAAGAGAAGGAATACAGGTATAAACTCTAGTTATTTGTAAAATTGTATGTATCCTTTCAATTCCTACAGTAGATAGCTACCTATATGGTAAGATAGAGGCTGCTGAATAAGCTAATACATCTCTGTCATCCCTACCTGTTCGACAATTTTTCTTTCCTTGGGATTGAACCCAAGGCCTCATACATGTTAAGCAAGTACTCTACCACTGAGCTATATTTCCAGCTTTCTTTATTTCAAGATAGGGTTTCACTAAATTGCCCAAGACTAGCCTCCAATCTGAACTTGTGATCCTTATCTCTTGGCCTCCTGAGTAGCTGGGATTACAGGCATTCACCATCACACCTAGTCTCAAGAATGTTTTTTCTCCTGAATCCAAACCTAGGCTTCAGCCTGGCAAGGTCGTGCACACCTGTAATAACAGTGGCTCAAGAGGCTGAGACAGGAGGATCGCAAATTCAAAGCCAGCCTCAGTAAAAGTAAGGCTGCTAAGCAACTCAGTGAGACCCTGTCTCTAATAAAATACAAAATAGGGCTCGGGATATGGCTCAGTGATCAAGTGCCCCTGAGTTCAATCCCTGGTACAACAACAAAAAAAGAAAGAAAGAAAGAAACCTTCATCTTCAAGCTATGTCTCATGGTTAAGAGCTAAATTGTAATTTATAAATATTCCCAGGAGTGATAACACATTTATTTAAAATCATGCAAAGATAAAAATAATTGATATGAGATTCTTGAGGTTTGGAAGAAAGAAAAGGTCTGCAGCCACCTAAAGACAGCAGATACCATATAATCAAATAAGAAACAAGGAGGCTAGAAGATTTTACGCCTCACATTGGCAGGGTCTGTCTTATCCTTTTCTTTTTATGTTTAGTACAATATACCTAAGAGAGACATCCTTAAACATTTGTTGACTGCCTGGATAATAAAGAACTTGCTTTGGGGTTAGGGTGTAGCTCAGTTATAGAATACTTACCTAGCATATGTGAGGCCCTAGTTTAAATCCCTATCACCACAAAAATGAGAAAAGAAAAAGAAAATACTTGCTTTGGAAGGAGGAGAAGACAAAAATAAATGTTCTTAGTTAAGTCTGGGTAGAAGAACTTTCAGTGGGGTAACTTTCTTTTGGGGTACTGAGGATTGAACTCAAGGGCACTCTACCACTGAGCTACATCCCCAGCACATTTCTACTTTTTATTTTGAGGAAGAGTCTCCCCAAGTTTGGTCTCAAACTTGCAATGCTCCTGCCTCAACCTTCTGAGTTGCTGGGATTACAGATGTGTTCCACTAGGCTGGGGTCACTGTCTTATTCCAAACTACTTTTCCTTTGGGGCAAGAGGAAAGGGCAGTTGCATGGTGGGATGTCCCCAGAGAAACTTAAGATCTTACTAAGTCTCTTTCCCAGAAATATCAATGGAAAACAAATTTTTTGTACTCTTCCGGTTTTCTTTGACTTTGCAAGTCTGGCTTAACTGTCTGCTCCTCCAGTCTCCACTATTGTTTTTTCCTTTTTAATAATAATCAAGTCCAAGGAAACCTTAGAAGCCCTGCTCCCAGCACCTTTTCCTGAGTACCAGGGACCATCTCCTCTTCCCACAGGGAATTGTGGGAACAAATCTCTCTCTCTTTCTCTCTCTCACCAGGGATTGAATTCAGAGGCACTTGAACACTGAGCCACATCCCCAGCCCTATATTATATTTCATTTAGAGACAGGGTCTCACTGAATTGCTTAGTGCCTTGCTGTTGCTGAGGCTGGCTTTGAACTCCTGATCCTCATGTCTCAGCCTCTGGGATTACAGGTGTGCTCCAGTCAGCACCAATGAGACTAAAAGCCAGAGTAAAGAACCAGCCAGAGTTGGAGTTTGGATGTGTCTGGTTCAAAATCTATACTATATAGTTGAAATCCCTGACCCCAAGGGGGAGGGCACTTCTCTTCAGCAGAGTCAGATTTTATGCAAGACATTTACTATGTCAAAGTATCAGTCCCTGGCCTTGGAGTCAGGTCTTCTAGGTCGCTTTTAGATTCACCGGGGGTGATCCTGGTTAACTGAGCTCTCCACCTCTTTTTCCCCCAAACTTGACCTATCTACCTAAATACAGGGAAGAAAGATTGGTGCGGGACTGGGAGCTTTTAAAGTCACAAGAGTTAAAGAAAGGAGAAATTAGCACTAAATGAAGATTTCAAGGACTGGGGTGTAGCTCAATGGTAAAGCACATGTTTGGAATGCGCGAGGCCCTGGGTTCAGCCCCAGCACCAAAAAACAAAACCTAACATTTCAGAAGCAGAGCCTTTGACATTCCGACCCTTCACAGATGGGTCACTGAGTGGTCCAGGAGCCTTGCCAACACCAATTCCCAAAGGGCTGAAGTTCCAGCCTGGCAGAGGAGCGCCACCTGGCGGCCACTCCCCCAACCTGATTCTCTTTGCCCCAGTCCGACTTTTCCAAGCCTGAACTAGAATTGAGCTAGAGAGTTGTCACCTCCTCCTCTACGTCACTCCACGGACCCCGCCCTCCCGAAGGGACGGGTCCTAACGCCTCCCGCGCAGAAAGGCTGTTCTCCCTCCTTCCCTCCCCGGCTAAACGCTTCTGTAGGCAATCTGCTTAAAGGGCCCCCGAGGGATCCGCCCCACCCGTCGCCCACAGAGAGCTAGCCCCACCCCCCCACGGGTGCCTGCCCCATTCTCTTTCCCCACAGAAAGTGCTGCACCGCCCAGCCCCCTCTCTTCGCGGTCTTCCCCGAGGAACCGACTCCCTTCCTCCTCCTCCCACCCTCACAGGGAGTCTCTTCCAGTCCCCAGAACCAAGATCCAGTTTATTAATGAGGCCTCCCCTTCAACCCCACAGGACTGGTGGGCCTTGGCCCCACTCAGCTATACCGCCCCCTCGCTTGCTTCCCACCCACGCCAGCAGGCGGGGCTCTTGCTGCTCGGCCCCGGGGCGGTCTATCGTGACGTCACTTCCGTCCGGGCCTGGCCGAGGTTCGTGCTCCGCGGACCGAGGGCGGGGGTACAGAGGTGGCAGCTGAGGGAGTAGGCGGCGCGGGAGGCCGTGGAGCTCAAGCCCAGACCAATCCGTGCGTCCCGGGCCACGACCCTGATCCTGCAGCGCAGTGAGAAGCGAAACCGGCCGGATGGGCCGCTGAGCCCGAGTCGGGGACCGGTGAGGCTCGAGGAGAGCGGGCCCGTGGGGCTGCAGGGTCTCTGAGTCTGGCATGCCTCAGGCCTCCCTCCTGCTCCCTCCGGCGGGGAGGCCGGAGCTGGGGCAGCCACGGGCAGGCGCGGTGGGTAGAGGGAGGCCCGCCGCCTGGGGGGGGCGGGGGGGTGACAGCAGCCGGGTGTTCTGTGGATGGCGGGATGTTTGGGGTCATTAACGGGGCGGAGGGCCGGCACTCGGGATTCTCGTGAAGGACTGGCGTTAGGGGAGGAGCGGGGAGTGTGCTCCAAGCTAGGGCTTTGGGAAACGGATGGCTTTGAGTGGGGGAGGCCAAAAATTGAGAGACTTGGGAAAATTTTCCATGGCTCTAAATGAGAGAGAGGGGTTTGGAGCGTTCTTCTCTCCTAAAGCGTTGTGGGACACCTGGAGAAGGGTCTCCCTGGAGTTTGGAGGAGTCAGTCAGTATTTGAAAGGAGCGTGCTCAGAGTCTCACTAACCTGAGCGGGTATTTTAGAAGCCTGGCTGCCTCTAAGTAACTTGAGTCTCAACATCTTAACAGTGCGGAGCCCCCCTGAAGCTGAGATCAGGATGTTCCGCTTCATGAGGGACGTGGAGCCTGAGGATCCCATGTTCCTGATGTGAGAATTCCCTCCCCCTCATGCTTTAGAGCCCTCATCCCACTCCACTTCAGGTCTCTGAGCAGTTGAAACTGACATCTGGGTTCCCATGGCTGGGACTGGTTGGAATTGGCTGGATACTCAGCTACAGCTCCCACTTAGAGGGAAGTCGGCATCTGTGTCACTGAGTGCCCTGTGACTATTATTCTGGGGGTTGGGGGATGGGCGTTTGACAGCTTAGCCTTTCTGCCACCCATACCGTATTTTCACTCAACAGGGACCCCTTTGCTATTCACCGTCAGCATATGAGCCGCATGTTGTCAGGTGGCTTTGGCTATAGCCCCTTCCTTAGCATCACAGATGGCAACATGCCAGGGACCAGGCCTGCCAGCCGCAGGATGCAGGTAACAGTGCTGAAACATACCTGAGACCCAGAGAAAGGTTGGGGGCAATTAGTAAAGCACATTGATTTTCTTGTACTAGAACCAACTTGGCAAGTGCAGTGATCTCCTAGGAGTGGAGTTGGGTCTGGAAAAAGTGTTTTGTGGCCCCTTTTAAGGATGGAAAAATAAAATGGAGGTTATGAGTCTGGTTTGGGGTGGTAAGGAGAAAGGATGTGGTCTCTAATTGCTGTTCCTCATGTGTTGCTGTAGGCTGGGGCTGTCTCCCCCTTTGGGATGCTGGGAATGGTGAGTCCTTATCTTCTTCTGTTCCTCAGTCTTAGATACTATAACCTTAGATGTTATTTCCAAATGTGTCACTCAGGAATAGCCTTGTAGGTGGCCTCAGAATCTTTTCTTTTGATACTATTCACAAAACTTAAGAGTTGATGAGGTGCTAGGAGTCCTGTGAGCTAAAGATACTGCTCACTTCTGTGCTCCTAGAGGTACATACCCAATCAGAAGATGTAATTGTGTAGCAAAATTTGTTCTTTTGAGGGGGCAGGGGCAGTTGAAGAGCCAAGGAGATGGATTTTGGATTTTAACATTTTCTCAAGCTCTGCCTTGTGAGCTTAGAATCCATTGACTGGATCATTTCCAAAGACAGGGGAATATGGCAGTCAGGAGAGGGAAAATTGGATTACAGCAGCCATAGAGATTGAAGAAGGGGCCAGCAGTTTATGGAGGAGAAATGAATGTTCTGACTATGTTAATGGAAAATGATAAATAGCAGTTGCTAGATATGCAGGAAGAAGAGAAAGGGGATGTATAGCCAGGTTTCTGGAAGGTACCTGAGCAGCAACATTCCATCCGAGCCCTGACATTGCTTCCTTGACTCTGTCTTCCATCTCTTTCCTCTAGTCGGGTGGCTTCATGGACATGTTTGGGATGATGAATGACATGATTGGAAATATGGTGAGACTTTTGCACCACATCCTTCCCATGCCCCATATCCTTTCCTTAGTGATGGCTGGCAATACCTTGTGTTTTCTTTGGTGGGATTGGGGGACTGCTAGTGAGGGGGTTGAACTGGGTGAAATCACTGAATCAGAGCACTGGGATCCTGAATCTGCTCTCATGCCCAGATGTAAAGAAGAGCAGTATTCTTTTTAAATATGCAATTTGGGTTTTATCTCTTGAGTTTCTTCTTGTTTAGTGTTGGACTCAAGAAGAATTGGGCGTAGGTGGTTAATGATGTTTTCTCTGTTCTCACATTTGTGAAAAAGGTACAGGCAAGAACAAACAGCTGAAGGGGAAGGAAATCCCTCCTCCAGAGAGAACCTCTCCCCATTCAGTCCTGCCCTCCCTTTTCCTCCTCAGGAGCATATGACAGCTGGGGGCAATTGCCAGACCTTTTCATCTTCTACTGTCATCTCCTACTCCAATACTGGTGATGGTGCCCCCAAGGTCTATCAGGAGACATCAGAGATGCGCTCAGCACCAGGCGGGGTATGTGGGGACAGTGGCACCCACCACCACCTTTTTTCAGAAATAAGTTGTGGGTGGTGTGTTCATCCTGGGATGTTGTAGCCAGAGCTTTGGAAGGGACAACCAAGTATGCCATGTTCTGCCTCATCTTAGATCCGGGAGACACGGAGGACTGTCCGCGACTCAGACAGTGGACTAGAGCAGATGTCCATTGGGCATCACATCCGAGACAGGGCTCACATCCTCCAGCGTTCCCGAAATCACCGCACAGGAGACCAGGAGGAACGGCAGGACTATATCAACCTGGATGAGAGTAAGCCTTCCTTCCCACATCCTGCCCAGCAGCTCCAAGTCTAGTTCCTCTGAGCTATGTCATAGCTTTGTCTGCCTGCTCCCACAGATATTTCTTGTGCAAAATTATGGGCAAACCCTATACTTGAGACTTGTTGTCAGGTTAGGCACCCAATCAGGTGCTGGCATTGTCCTGCCAGAAGAAGACTTTGTCACTGAAATCAAATATTGTTAGTATTCTACCCTTTCTTATCCAGATCAGTTTTTTCCTTTCTCCTGCTATTATTTCACTTTTTTCAAATCAGTAAATATTTATTAAATACCCAGGGTGTGTATAATTCCTCATACTTTAGGCCTGCCAGTAGTGTCCAGGGACCATGTGGAAACCCAAAGAGCTAAGTAAAGTTGTTCCCTTCTATGCCTCTGTCCCCCCAACCCCACCTCCCTTTCATCTTCACCACTAGTTTTTATCTTAGAAGTCTTACTGTAGCATCTGCCTCCAGCAGCATGCTATGTGGAGGCATCATATCTGTTTTGTGTTTTCCTCAGGTGAGGCAGCAGCATTTGATGATGAGTGGCGAAGAGAGACATCCAGATTCCGGCAGCAGCGCCCTCTGGAATTTCGAAGGCATGAGGCATCTGTGAGTGGGGGTCGAAGGGCCGAGGGGCCTCCCCGCCTGGCCATCCAGGGACCTGAGGACTCCCCCTCCCGACAGTCCCGCCGCTATGACTGGTGAAGGCCCCCTAAGTCCTCAGCCTTTCATGTAAGTATCTGAGGGGGAGGAATGGTAAGGTGACAAGCCCAGAAGGGGGCTGGGGAGCATACCTATGCACCTTCCTCTGCCATCAGGCAGAAGCAATCCAGATTCCCAGCTAATACTTTTCTTAATAGTTTAACTTCTAGCTGGCAAAGAAAGAAAAATGCTCTCACTGGAATAGAGGATTAAATCCTAATCCTTGGCTTTTTTATATTTTTTTTCTTCCTTTTGATATGTGTTCATCTTTCTTCCCTTCCAGGTACAGGCTGAGAAATCATCCCCTGAAAAAACTTTTTCCTGTCCAACTCCCACCCCCAATTTAATATTAAATTAACAGGCAAGCTGGCCCCCACCTCTCCCTGGGGGTCTCAGGGAGAACCTTACACTGCCCTCGATACCTACATTTTCTGTCTTTAATCCCCTTACCACACAATGACTCCACTTGTTCTATTATCCACTAACTTGATTTTTCATTTTGCTGCTCCATCTTCAAACCTCATTTTCTCCATTGTACCCCTGCCATGTGCAGAAGGGGTGAGCTCTGGGTTTAGAGACCTCCTCCATCCCTTAGCTACCCTGGATCTTTGCCCACCTGTTCCTCAGAGCCCTTAGTACAGGAGTCATAGTCCTGTCCAGGGCTGTGGAGAGTTCCCAACTCTTGTCTCCCCCCCACGCTCCCATTCACTCACATCACAAAAACCTTCCCCATACCCTTCTTTGCCTTTATTTTTTGATTTGTGCAACTTGTAACTAGGTGTTTATGGAATAAAGGAGAATGAGAAAAAAAAAAAAGGAGGATTTTGGCTATACTTTGCTTGTTCAACTTTCCTCTCTCCTAGTCATATTCTTACTCCTTTTTGTTTCTTGCTGTGTCTCAGCCCCTTTAATGGTGACAGTGGGGCTGTGTGCTAGCAGGGGAGGGCAGCAGCAGTCAGCTGGGCCAGGCTAGGGGATGAAAATGAAGCTACTATCTTGCCAGATCTCCTTCACTCTTTTTTCTTTCTTTTCTTTTTAGTTGTAGGACACAGTACCTTCATTTATGTATGTATGTATGTGGTGCTGAGGATCGAACCCAGTGCCCCATGCATGCAAGGCAAGCGCTCTACCACTGAGCCACAACCCCAGCCCCTTTAACTTTACTCTTTAGGGGCATGTAGGGCATAGCTCACAGGTACCTGAGAAACTGACTGCCCGCAGAGTTACTCCCTGAGACTGTGGAAAGGAACACTTGTACAGAGCAGGCAGGGTCCAGACAACACAAAGGCCTTCAAGAGAGAAGAGCTCTGGAGTGAGCAGTGTCTTCAAACCCGCTACCCTTGTTGAGAATTTGAGCTCAGGAAAGAAACCAACAAAGAAAACTAACCTGGAACTTGAGCTGTGCTGGGGGAGCTCACATTTCTTAAAGATATTCTCTCTTGATTTGCAGCCAAGTAGATCACTCTGTCCCTCTAGGGAACTTGTTTCATGATGGCAGATGCTTATGAGACCCTCAGGATTTTTTTTTTTTTTTTTTTTTTTTGCTTTTTTTAATGCTGGGGACTGAACTCGGGGCTTCATGCATGCTAGGCAAGTACTCTACCACCAAACTGCAACCCCAGCCAGTCTATATTCTTCCTGAGCTGGGTGTGGTGTTGCAAGCTTCAGCCTCAACAATTTAGGAGGGTGAGGCAGGAGGATTGCAAGTTCAAGGCCAGCTTTAGAAAATTAGACCCTTTCTCAAAAAGGTCTAGGGACGTAGCTCAGTGGTAGAGCACACCTAGGTTTGACTTCAAGTACAAAAATAAATATCTTTTCTAATGGGAAGGGCCAAAGGACACTCTTAAGGCTTTTGGGGCCTCGTAGGGCAGGGAGTATTTTCCCCATGTCTGGGACAAGTAGATTCAAAAGGATAAGGGGAGCCCTGTATAATGGTATATACCTGTAATGCCAGTTACTCAGGAGTTGAGAATGCAGGCTCTCGAGTTTGAGACCAACCTGGGCAAATTAGACCCTGTTTAAAAACAAGAGGGGGCCAGGTGTGGTGGCACACTCCTGTAATCTTGGGTTCAAGGCCAGTCTCAGCAATTTAGGCCCTATGTAAATTGGCCTCAAAATACAAACAAAGGTGGCTGGGAATGTGGCTCAGTAGTTGAGTGCCCCAAATTCAATCCCTGGTACAAAAAAAAAGGACAAGGGGGATTTGTCTAGTCACTGGACAAGAGAGAGGTAAAGTTGAGCTCAGTAGCAGGCCCTTACTTCCTAGTCCAGTGTGTTATTAAACTTATTAAAAATAGGGCCAGTGGGGCTAGGATTGTGGCTCAGCGGTAGAGCACTCGCCTAGCACGGGCGGGACCCAGGTTCGATCCTCAGCACCACATAAAAATAAAGGCATTGTGTTGTGTCCATCTACACCTAAAAATATATATATAATAAATAAATAAATAAATAAAAATAGGGCCAGTGTGGATTCATGACTGGGTCAAAGGAACCCAGCAACTGAAAGAATCCAGGCATCCCAGCAGTCAAACAAGTGTAAATTATCCATCCACCAGCTAGATTCTGATTGATGGAGGCTGGAACTCAAAGGCATTACCAGCCCTCATTTTTAAGTGTAGCCTATACTCTGACCAGGTAGGGAGAATACTTAGGCTGGGAGACCAAACTACTGGGTTCTTATTGTTCTGGTTCTTTGGGTAACTTCAATTTATATACTTGGACACTGGGCAGAAAAAAGGAGAGAAAGGATACTACTAGGATCTGGAGGGATTGTTCAGTGGGAGGGAAAATTTCCCAAACTAACAGATGAGTAAGGGTAATCCAAAATATTTGTTTCTACTTGTCAGTTTGTGGGCCAGAGGCAATAGAGAGGGTAAAAGGTGATGAGAGTGGAGAGCTGCGTACCAATTCCAGGCCAGGAGGATGATTTCCATACTGTGTCTAAAGCATTTTAGGAGCTGAGGATGGAGACCAGAGCACTGAAGGAGCAGACAGGGATGAAGTAATTAAGGAAAATGCTAGGAACAGAGAGCGGTCATTTATATCCCGTGTATTGTGTCAAATGGTTTTTCTACACTAACTCAATGCTCACAATTCTTAGGTATGAATATATGTCCTCATTGCCACCAGTAACTAGAAAGGACCATCTTACAAAGCAGAGAACTAACAGTGGGAGAGATGACGACTCCTTCTCAGTCTAAAATGCTTTAGACACAGTATGGAAATCATCCTCCTGGCCTGGAATTGGTACCCAGCTCTCCACTCTCATCACCTTTTACACCCTCTATTGCCTCCAGCCCACAAACTGACAAGTAGAAACAAATATTTTGGGTTACCCTTACTCATCTGTTAGTTTGAGAAATTTTCCCTCCCACTGAACAATCCCTCCAGATCCTAGTAGTATCCTTTCTCTCCTTTTTTTCTGCCCAGTGTCCAAGTATATAAACTGAGGTTACCCAAAATACCAGAGGCTGACCCACAATAAGAACCCAGTAGTTTGGTCTCCCAGCCTAAATATTCTAAGTCTACTTAACTCCATATATCTTTCTGCCCTATGCTCCCAGTCCTGAGAATGTCATTCTAGGGGCTGAGAGAACAGCAAGGGCCAAGGATTCCTTCACTCAAATAATTCCTGTGGGTTAGGGGTAAAAAGAGTAGTTTTTACTTGCTGTTCCTTTATATCACCGAGGTCTTCAGATGAGAGAGGCAAGGGACAGGTGCGGCTGCACTGGAGGGGGAGATGAAGATGAAGACAGTCATAGGAGGCCATAGGAGACGAGAAATAAACAAGGAGGCCAGGGCCTGGAGGAGTCCTTGTGTAGCTGGTTCTCCCAAGGAGCATTATCCCTGGGCAGAGCCTGGGGAAGGGGGCAGGGTACAGAACTGGCCCTGAGGTAAGGGCACAACAGAGGCCTGGGTGCAAAAGTGTGGCAGGGCTGCTACAAAAGGGGGTTTTTCCCCTACGCAGAGTGCTGGTGGCTCTGAGATGTCTCAGCCTCATGTCTGGTCTTAAATGGTACCTCTGGAGGGGCCAGGAGAAGTAGGTAAGACATCCCCCTCTAGGCTCAGGCCCTCTGAACAATCCCTAAAAGAGGCAAGTTGGGTTAGCATTCAGAGTTCCTTAACCCTCTCTCTGCCCTTTAACATGCTATTCTTCCTCCCTGAACATTTTATCTTTTGGATGGGAATGCTCCTGGTTTCTTCCAGCATCCATCCCCTCCTTTCGTCTACTGTCACCTGCTATCTGAAGACCTTGCAGGATCTGTATCATTTTTCAAGGTATCAGTATCCTCTGCCAAGAGGGCCAGAGAAGTCTGAGGCTGACATCAAGTGGGAGGATAGAAAAGGGCCTGTAGGACTTGAATTGAGTCTTTTAAAAGATGGAGCCAGGGGCTGGGGTTCTGGCTCAGTGATAGAGTGCTTACCTAGCATGCGTGAGGCACTGGGTTCCATCCTTAGCACCATATAAAAATAAAATAAAGGTATTATGTTCACCTACAACTAAAAATATATTAAAAAAAAAAAAAAAAGATGGAACCAATGGGTGTGGTGGTTCACACCTGTAATCCTAGCGGCCCAGGAGGCCGAAGCAGGAGGATCACAGGTTTGAAGCCAGGCTCAAGAACTTAGAGAGGCCCTAAGCAACTTAGCAAGACAAGCTGAATCTCAGTATAGATGAGCCTTATTTAAACAACCCAGTGTTTGATATAAATGACAATTTCAAAGTTGATGAGACTTTACAGATCACTTGCTCTGGGAATTCTGAAATGTGACAGTAGGACCACTTTAGACTTACAAAAGCAAAATCTTGAGGTTGCAAAGGATCCAATGCAGCAATTACAGATATCCAACCCCTGCCCCCCAGGCTCCTGTTTACTACTGAAGAAACAGGTGAAGGTCAATATCACACAGCGACTTGCGGCCAGCAAGAGCCAGGACTCAAAACATTGACGTAAATGTTATTAATATACTGTACAGAATGATTTACCACTGGAGTCCTTTAAATAAAAAGTTTCTTGGGGCTGGGGATGTGGCTCAAGCGGTAGCGCGCTCGCCTGGCATGCGTGCGGCCCAGGTTCGATCCTCAGCACCACATACAAAGATGTTGTGTCCGCCGAAAACTAAAAAATAAGTATTAAAATTCTCTCTCTCTCTCTTTAAAAAAAAAAAAAGTTTCTTGATGGTTTAAACACATTTTTCTATTAAAATTTACCCAAGTAATAGTACAGTGTTTGAAATAATAGCTATTAGTATGCCAGTAACTCAGTATGTCTAGTTTTTTGTTTGAAGTGGTTTCACTGTGTTGCCCAGACTCATCTGGAACTTCTGGGCTCAAGTAATCCTCCTGCCTCAGCCTCCCAAGTTGCTGGAATTACAGGTGTGCACCACCTGTGCAAGCTTCATTGTGGTTTTAATTTGCATCTCCTTAATGGCTAACCATATTGAGCATCTTTTCATATGCTTATTTACCATCATTATAGCTATTTATTGTTCTGTGGCACTGAGAATTGATCCCAGGGGCACTCTACCACTGAATTACATCCTCACCTACTCATCCTTTTGAAACAGGGTCTTGCTAAATTGCCCAGGCTGGTCTTGAACTTGTGATCCTCCTGCCTCAGTCTCCAGAGTAGCTGGCATCATAACTGTGTGCCACCTTGCAAGACATGAATCATGTTTTTTATTTTTATTATTATTTTTTTTTTTAGAAAGAGAGAGAATTTTAATATTTATTTTTAGTTTTCGGCAGACACAACATCTTTGTTTGTATGTGGTGCTGAGGATCGAACCCCGGCCGCACGCACGCCAGGCAAGCACACTAC